TTTTGGAGGCTTGTTATAAATTAAGTGCTCCTTAGAGATATACATTCTTTGTAGAGTGCTATAAAGCTACTAATCGTAAATTCAAATGTTGTGAGGATGGTCAACTGAATCGTGTAGGAATAAGATCAATCCAATTGATACTAGCTTTGTATTGGGGAGTCACTCATAACAGAAACCCCAGAAATCCATAACGCGGCGCCGCAATCGGTGCGTAAAAAGTCATGGATGAAGGCGTTCTTTTTTTTCGGAAATCAAAGTTATGTTGAATATTAGCAAGAAAGTATCTAAAAACAGCATGTTGAGAATACTATTGCGTCTCTGTGTCGTCTTTTAGCTTACCCCTACATTTGCAGTTTCTTCCAGTCTTCGGACCTAATAAAGCGTTCTGTAAGTTTATGTGAGTTTGTTAGAATTAGTTGTCAAACTCCGTTCTCCACATTCACTATGCGCATCATTCCTCTTTGGCTTCCCAAACTTCGTTCTTAATTCTAGGTGGGAGAACGAGCTCTAATAAAAAAGAGTGTTATCGCTCCACGTTGTACCGTAGGAGAGAAGTCGAACATACAAGGTAGCGTCGTCATGGAGGGATCGACGATTGGTAGAGAGTAAGTTTACCCAAATCTTTAGCTTTCAAACATTAGTCCAAATATATTAACGAAGGCAACATGTCTAACGCATACGCATTCTCGATAAGCACGTAGGATTTGTCGCCATAAACAGTGCTCATGAAAAAGGGAAAAAAAATTTTTGATTATCAGAATTTATTGGAAAGAAGTTTACATGAAATCTCAATTTACTTGAATATGATGAATTTTTAAAGATGTCAATTTGCAGCGTGAAAATTACACAAAGTATAATTTGTTGCGGTGCAGTGATTGGAGACAATAGTGAGCTTGTAAACGTCATTGTGACCAAAGATCAGAAAGTTGGCGCCAATGGTTAGTTTTCCTCTGCTTTTAATTTCCTACTAGCTACACAAAAAATATGATCTGGAGTCACTAGATGCTATGTTTTCTCTTTGATTGATTGTAATTTTGACTTGTTTTTGCCTCAGTTGCACATCCTTACTATCATTTAATCTAGGCAGTTAGGAGCCTTAATAAATTTTAGCTGTTTACTTAATGCGGAATATTCCATGCGAAAACAATTCGATGAATAGTTTCACTCGCAAATGAGAGATCATCTCTGACCTCAACTGATTTTACTTTCTATTATAGTGTTACTTTTTGTAATAGCTTTGCTTTCAGCCAAAATCCATAATGAAGTGGTGGATTGTGATGATGAAGATAACGCATGGGAAAATGGTCTTTGAAGTCCAATAAATGCAAAAAACCTCGATTAGTTTGCAACTTGCCCTTCTGTACAACTTGTTGTCTTTCCTGTGTTTTCTTTTTTTTTTCTTTTTAAGATATTTTTGCCAGTCTATGTTGTCGCCACTGATGTTTCTGTTGTTGTTTAACATTTAGTGCTCTACTGAGGGGTTTATATTGTTCGGTTAGCAAAAAAATTCTACACAGCCGTGAAAAATTTCTCGTTTTGTAGAGAGTTTATTTACACAAGAGGACATACGCAACATATATTATCATTACTTATCACAAGTCCTTAACGACTTAGGGTCTTTCTCGATGAACGAGGTAATAACTTTTCTGATTTCGTTTTTGAACAAATATGAAGTTTTCGGAGTGATTGTTAACGCTCCAATCTGGCAAATTGTTTTGGGAGCGCGAAAAGCGTGACTACGTTTTGGAGAGATTGGATACTACATCAGAGATATGACGTACAGATCAAGCGTTGTGATTGGGGTCGGACCTGAGCTATGAGAATTCCTCATTCGCGTCGGATGCTGCTTCTTTTATTGGATCCAGATCTCCATCAACACCACTCTGCTCATTTCAAACATGTTTTCTTTTCTATTTCTTTATTATAAATTAGAAATGTGTGCAGAAACGTCGTATGAGTATGTGGTTAGTACAATGCTAAATTTCTTCGAAATCAAACTGGTTCACTACATTCGTAGCTTTCTCGCGGCTTCGATGTCAGTACCTTCTATATGCAACCTCGACATGAATAATCAGTGTCCCATCTTATGGCTAGGCTTACGCGACGTTGTTAAACCTCTAAATGATAAAGCTCTCGGCGTTGATCAATCCTTGAGGGATGCGCCATGCATTAGTCTTCAGTTTTCAACTTCGTTCGGGGTGATTGAATGCATATCTGTCGAGTCAGTGCTGCTTATCGTCCCAGACAGTTCTTCAACCAATCCAGTGCCAATTTACCGACCCCGGAGGGATGAATGGCATGGTGAGCCGTGAGCGCAGCATCGAACCGTCGACTCAGAGGGCCTCTAACCACTGCGCCACATGCGCGACGTTCTTACAATTTTTTATCATGGCTAACGTTTCCGCACCTTCGCCTTCAGAACTGTGGATGCTCGGGTCGTGGTTTTGATAAAGACGGGATGCAGAACACTTGAATCTTGAAATGATAGCCATAATAAAGAATCACAACCTCCTATAAACCCTTCAGTAGAAGGACTTCTGCAGTTTTACTTCAAATAACTTTCTAGGAGTAGAACATCAGTGCTGAAGCGGATAAAACATTCTTAAGCAACCTCCTCTAATGTGACTTAAAGGATAATTATAGACTCACCGTCGAAAAATGCCATTCTCATACGACTTTTTATCAAGAAACGTAGTCTTGTTCCACGCAAGTCATGTGGTATTTGTAGGCGTTTGATTTTACTGGTTTTCTATAAAAAAAAATTTGCAGTAAGAGTTCTTCTTCTTGTGTTGATTGAATAGCGTTGCGTCACTAGTCTCTAGTCGCAACATGAAATATATGATCAAAAATTTACATTAACAACTGCCTTATGAACAAATCTCTCCAAAAGTCATGTCCAGCAGAACATTTGTGCAGATTGATCACAGCAACAAGTTCTGTAAAATCTCTATTGGCAAAAAAAAAGCCACTCGGAAAGAAAAATGCGCTGAATTTAGTACACCTTCTTCACTTATATACTTCACACAGGCATTACAGACACAGTGATTCTGAAGCGTCATGACACCAATATGCTGCGACTGTGATGTATATTAATATGTGCTAAAGAGTAGCAATTGTGTCACTATAACAATAGGGCAAATCCTCTATCGTATCACTGCTACGTTTTCAATTCCCTCGAATCCTTGATTATTACTTAGATACTTAGATGCTCCGTCTTCACAAATTGTGCGGACCCCAGCACATTTTCTAAATGGTATATAGCTGGCCGTGCATATAGTATTCTTTGGTTTCCTGACGTAACCTTGCAAGGGCTTCTTCAGGTCTTTATGATGTCGTTTCCAAGTAATGGATTTCGGCGGTGGATCCTCTACCAGGCTTCCGCTCACGGATGATGTAGAAGCCAAAATCCCGAATCCTTGATTACGAACGGAAAATTATTGTCTGCCACTAAAAGCCAGCATATTTATCACGTAGCAAAGAGGCGGAGAAGTCATCCGTAGCAGACGAAAAGACCACAGGGCAGCCTCGCAAAGGTGTGCTATGTCTTGAATATCAACTCCAACGGCATGTGTCTCAACAGTAAACTTCAGCAATATCTTATGTCATCTAAACGTCAATCTAGAGAAAAATTTGCTCCGCAGAACATTTTTAGCTTTCTGGGACGCATCTGTTTGCTGAGGGGATTTCAGGTAACTAGTAAGTTGCTTCAAGTTCCCTAACAAACTGTGGTCGCAATGCTAGCAAACCATTGTCAAAAAATCGATGAAATTCGATGAATATGCTGAATAATCCTCTGTTTCGTAAATTATTTCAATTATTGAAAATTTCTCCTCACAGAAATGTTGGAGTACCTTTTGACTGATCAATCTTTGCTGCGAACACTGTAGTTTGTTCCGTGTTTTAATCATTTCGTAAGAATAGATGTGAGGCCTGTAACGCAAAGGTTGATGGTGCTTGGTGTGATTCAACGCGTTGTTGATACTGAACCTCAACGATTTCCGGCAGTCAATATCGAACGTCTTACTGAACGCCCCAGCCCGGCTCTGTTCGAAATTGCAAGATGTACTCAACCAGTATTCTACGACGTTCATAAGAAAGATGAAATCCTTGAGCAAGCGCTCAACGCGAAATGACGAATTGAAGGCTGAAAATACTGGGACTCACACAGTAAGAAGAAGCCATGATCCGCTTTAAGTAAAGTAATAAAGAGAAAGAAGTGAAGGGTAGATTTTTTGAGTTACCAGCAGAACCCAATTAAGAGCAATGAGTGTTTTTTTCCGGAGGACGCATAAGTTGTAAAAATGCTTGGGCTCAGAACAAGAAGTTCAAATTCTTTTTGTGACACTACGAATGTATTTTTGGAGAAGTAAATAAAGCTGAAGCTCCATGCGACTGAAAACATCTCATGTGGTTGTAAATAAATTTGAGGTACCGAAGATCACTGCAAGAGGGCTTCCAGGCCTGCAAACAGAACAAATCTATTGAGCAAAGCTGAAAAAAGTCCTCCAAAAAAATGCTGCAGGGATTCATGCGAATCCAGTGTTTCATTTTCAAACTAAATAAACAAAGATGAGACTGATACTACCTTCAACCATGTTTTAAAGATGATAACGGAAAAGTGTCGGACCAATCTTTTTCCTCAGCCTAGCTTCCCTCAAAATATTCCTTAGAGAAACAGCAGTTCCACATCTCTTCTCTGAACTCTGAGCTAAAATCAGTAACATGAAAGAAGGTACAACTAGAGAGTAGGTGACGTCACAGCCAACTTCTTTCTTCCACCCATCCAAGTATTTACACATAGTAGTCGCAACTGATGTTATTAGGCTAATGGAACGTGATTGCCATTTCAGGCTGTGAATTTAGATCATTGTATATAGGATTATGCTCGTGAATAAATTTGGTCATGTTAATCAAATGGATTTCTCTTTAATTAACCGCTTACTAGCAGTGCTACGAGTTTTCACATATACTCATTGATGTAGAGTGATCTGCAAAACGTTTGCGTCAGACGGGACTTGAACCAGCATTTCACTCTATGCAGGAGAGCGTGCTCTAACCCGTTGCACTACTGACGCCCATTTTGCACGCCACTCTTTCTACGCAACAACGCATCTATCTGTCAACCGCCAACCGTCAACGGCCTGATCCGGGTAGTCGTTATCGACATCGAACCCTCGATATTGAAAAGAAATCCATTTGATCATCAATACCCAATATCTGTCAGCGCGAATGGGTTCAATGTCGGTACCGACTACCCGAATCAGGCCGTTGACGGTTGGCGGTTGACAGATAGATGCGTTGTAGAGTAGAAAGAGTGGTGTGCAAAATGGGCGTTAGTAGTGCAACGGGTTAGAGCACGCGCTCCCGGATACAGATAGATGTGGGTTCGAGTTCCGCCTGAAGCAAAAAATTCTGTACATCACTCTACATCAATGGGTATGCTCATGTTATACATCATTTTGATAGGCATTTATAACTTTATGTTGTTGCTAATAACGTTTTTACTTGTACATTTCATATCTATTTAGACTATGGTAAAGATGCTACACCATAAGCAAATTAGGCGGCTTTCTAATTCAAGTTCAAAATGGGTAGTAAAGCAGAAGAGACTCGCAGCATCAACAACGCATTCGGCCCACGAACTGCTAGAGAAAGTTTAGTGCAGTGAGGGGGTTCAAGGATTTCGTTAAGTAGCCGAGAGTCTTGAAGCTGAGGAAGGTCGAAAGAAAAGCATAAATTGAGAGCAATCATTGAAGTTGATCCTTGCAAGACTACAGGAGATGTCCCAGAAAACCTCAGCGTCGACCATTCTACGGTTGTTCGCCATTTGAAGCAAATTGCAAAAGTTATTGTGGTTCTAAGCCTGTCAAAAGTTATTGTGGTTCTAAACCTGTTATTGTGGTTCTGAAACAGCAGCTATTTTCTCGCTAGTCCAAAATAAATTCTATATATGGCCTCTAAAAATGTTTTCAGCCTTTTTTCCGAGGTTGTTACGTTGTAATTCGTTCATGACTCAAAGATCGTCTCAACGGTATGGCCGTCATCGAGCCACTTGCCTCCTATGATCGAGATGGGCTAACGAAGAATAGTAAGCTGTCGCCAAGAGAAATCATGGTCATCAGTGTACCTACAGTCAATTTCTGTGGCTGATACGAACAATGTATATCACCTTTTCATCAACTGTCTTTTTGAAAATCTCGATACGCTGGCATAGACACACTGGCAGCAATAATCTCTTTTGGCGAAACAAACTATTCTTTGTTACCCCATCTCTGTCATGGGAGACTTGGAGGTGACCCTGCACATGGCGATAGCGCTGAAAAGGTTCTAAGTCACGAACGAAAAGTAACGTAGCAGTTTCAAAAAATGCGAAAAGATAAGGCTAGAAATATTTTTTCACCGGAGTTTTCAAAGGACAGTCGATTAAAAGAGGTAATATATAATTTTTACACCTTTATATGACCTGTCGTCACATCTACTATGCTTATCTCGGCGATTCTAGCATTGGGTTCGTTCCTTCCTATTCATCGCCTTAAGGGACCAACTATATATAGACCTTAAAATTGATAGGAAAACTTCATGTTTTTCTCATCAACAAAGACGAGATTGACAATAATGAGATTGACAATAATTGCGGCCGACCTTTTCGCGGCTATCGCCTGACTTCATCGTTTCTACGTTTTTCCAAGGTTGAATGTTTTCCTCGCTAACCTTACAAAATAAACACGATTAAAAGTATGGTCGACTCTTTTGAACACTTATCAAGTGACCATCGGCAGACTTGATTCTCAATCTTATAGCCGATCAATAGTCTACTTCAATTGTATTAAAATCATCGTATTTGCATAAACAAAGAGCAAAGCAAAGCAAGGATGTTATTGCTGCTTGTTTAGTCAATGTAGTTTGATTATTCCTCTCAGATAGTTTACCGTCGTGGCTGGGAGGTGTTCCTGCGTGTCGGACTGCGAAGTACAGCGGTTCGTCCAGGTGGTTTTAACACCATCTCCTCCCCTCACGCAATGCCTCCCATTAAAGCTAAGAAGGAGTCAGGCCTTTGCACTCGGAAAGCACATGGTCCAGCGACGGTTTCAATGTGATCACAGTCTAAAGAAGCTCTGGCGAAGCTTGTCTCGGAACTCCAGGGAACAAAACGGACAAACCAAGACATTTTCATGTGATAGCGAGCGCACAATTTGAGGAGATGAATCGTCTAATTAAGTAAGTGAGCTTAATTATGACATTTTTATCCGATGTTGTGGAGTTGATGCCTGACCTAGGGTCCTAAAAAACTTAACGTGTTCAGATGTGGTCAATGGTGGTGGCTCGTTCGAAACCACTTTTATCATCGAGGTTTCTGTTGCCATAATGACATGCCTGATAATAATCTCGCAAGGTAGGATTGTCAATATTTCCCAACTATCGTTAAATATTTCGGTATTGCGTACAATGTTTTTCCCCCGACTTCGCCATCCATTGTCATCATAAATGGATAAGTTGGAAAGTATCATAAAAATAAAAATACTGCCTAAGAGACAGATGTTCTATCGACACATCAAAAGAAAGATGATGTGATCTCATGTCGATTGAGACATATGGATCTCAACTACATTGGTGTGACGTCTCAAAGACTGGTCCTCTTCATTTATTTTATTGCTTTACACAGCCCACTCGATATTTATGATTTGATTCATATTAATCACGGTTTTTGACATTCAATGAATTTATTCAAACATCTTGAGCCAATTTTACCATTCCCAGATAAGAAATGGGGATGAAGAGGAAATAACTAGAAAACGTGGTCACATTGTTCAAATTCTAGAGCATCATATGCAATTACTTTATAAAATATTGATAAAACATGAACTCTTGAGCACGCTACTCTGCTGTGTGGGATCCGTTGTACTCTCCAGCGATTCCATTACGTCTTCTCATAAGTTTTGGTACTACAGCAATCAATAATTGCCAAATTTGATAATAAACATAGATTACTGGTAGTCATTCAATAGCACGGACTTCGGAAATTCTGTTGCTAAAGCTAGTTTTTGAAATAGTTTTCATAGCACGCTGTTAGAGCAAAAAGAACATCATATTCAGCACTTGAAGTAGTTAGCTAATCACCTGAACATTGCAGCAGGGATATTTGGCAGTGTGGAACATAAAAAAGGTTTGTACCTATACAACGATAAAATAATCTCTTCTCTACAAATCATATACAAAAAACCTAGAAATTTTTCCGGAAAGAAGAAAAAATTGTGAGTAAGTAAAGAAATCGCGCAGCTTTCGAATGACGCGCTTTTTTGATATAGTAGTTGAAATCTGCGCTTCCGGAAAAATTTTAAGTTTTTTGCATAAGAATTGTAAAGAAGATTTTGTTCTATCATTCTATAAGTACAAAACAAACTTTTTCGTTGCTTCACAAGGCCAAATAAACCCGTTACAAAGTTCAAGCGACGAGCTAACTACTTCAAGTGCGAAACATGATTTTCTTTTTGTTTTGAGAGTACTCTATAAAGGCGGTTCCAGGTACCAGTCTAAACGCCAAATTTTCGACATACAGCGATTAAGTATCAGTAGTCCATGTAGATTTGTGAATTTGGTGTCTATTGTTTTAATACCAAAACTTCTGAGAAGACCTAGAAATATAGCTGCATTTACCTTGAAGTTTTGCAGTTATGTAGAAGCCTAGGTCAGTCCAAATTTCATAAGTGAGGTAAGAATGAAAGCCTGAATAACGAATATGGAAAGAGAAGACTTAAATCCTAAAAAAAAGAATTGCAACAGAATAGCTCCTGCGCGTCGGTTTACGTGCTCTCTCAAAGTCGAAGCCATCCTACTTCCATACGCCATCGGCCAGTGTAGAATGAAAAGTATTCGTTCTTCTTCTGACCTCAGCACAACTTCTCCATCAGTATGTTTGTGAATGAGAATAAAATCATAATCTGTGCCTACGTAATCGTTATCGCAGATCCAGAAAATGTGAATAGCCTCTTGAACTTTGACCTCATGTCACAATCATGTTAAAAAGTCCTGTACGGCTGTAACCAATTCCTTGTAGGCTACTGGTATTCTAAGATGTATTCCTAGTCCTCGATCGATATGCAAGAGACACTTTCGTTTGTGTCGGCTGCCCTCGATTGTTTTATTACCCGTCGTCTGCTCGTCCTCGCCAACCCTCTCGCAATTGCGCCTTAGCCCACCCACCGTCATCATCAGCGATACCACAACCAAACTCGTCCGTCGTTGATCACGTCCTGAGAAATTCTCAGCATCCGTCTAACAGTCTGTATCAGCTCACGTTTCTCCAGAGGTATCCACAGAATTAGTGATAGCTTTACCCGGCAGAAATCCATTTTTTGAGTGCGAGAAAAAGCTGCAGCATTCTAGAGCGATGTAACAGGACCTATGCGACAAGCTCAAATTTTTGCCTCATTTTAGTAGGTCTGTGAAGATATTCTTGTCATATGCACAGGTATAGCCAGGACGAGTGTCAAGTTTCGTTTATTTGGGTTCTCTTTTCGTATTCTGTGCGCTCTTCTCCCCCAATGGACAGGCCATCTATTTGCATATAATCGTATACCCCGTGATTGATAGCTGTCCCTGTCATACTCTCTCCTCTCAATCCTTACTCTTAATCCATTTTTGTTTCTCATCCAAATCCTAATTTAGCATTTCTGTTATTGAGTCTTAAGCTTTTGAAGCTTATTACTCTTACACTTGATGAACTTCTTCACTGGTTTTTTTCCATTTTCTCCCTAGTCTGGATATTTTTTTTCGATCTGAAATGCGCGATAGCCATCTGATTCTCAATAGATGACTTCACTTTCTTACTTGTAATGAGATAACCGTTTATGTTTCAGAGCGATGTCTGGTACGGTCGTCGAAAATCTTAGCAATCGTAAACTATTTTATATTCTCTCTACACTGTTAGTTACGCAGATATTTTTCTTCTTAATAGGTGCATGGTGTGGTTAGTTTTCTTTGCTGATGTTTCTAGAATTAAAAGTGTTAGTGAATATTTTCTTCTGTTTAGCCGTTCCGAGGTGTTATTGATAATATTTATTTAATATTAGCGAAGCATACAACAATACAGTCAGTAATGCAGCTTGAATATACAATGTTCGAGGTGGCCAACGTTTCGGCGGGTCGCCTTCGTCAGAGCCTGAAAATATCACATTGACACAATACACTAAGCCAAAACCTCCATAGCCCTAGCAGAAAACGTTAGAAATGAGTTTTGGATCGCATAGTAAAAGCTTCATCTTAAAACACTCACCGTTTTGATGTTTGGGTCTATCAATTATTAATTGAAGATCAGCCGCTTAAGGTCAGTGCATCAGTGGGCTATGCCTAACTCGGGCCGGAAAAATCAGCCTGAGGTATGGTTCGAGGTCACGCGTGATTACGA